GCGGCGGGAGCCCCTCTGTGGCTTTGCTCTGCATCTTCCTGGTCTGCAGACCAGGGAGACGCAGAGCAAAGCCCCAGAGTACACAGGCGGCAGGACCGCGAGGTCCCGCAGTCCGTGTCCTCCGGGGTGAGCCCCGTTCGTAATTACGGATCCGACATAAGTCGGATCCGCATAAGTCGGGGACTGTCTGTACTCTGAATAGAGCTGATCAGGAAATGTTTTTAGGTCTCAATTTAAAAAAAAATATATTGTCAATTTTCTTCAAAATGTTCTGTGTTTTCATCAAAAGCCTGAAAACATTTTGGGTTTTCTGCCAGAGTGAGATTTTTAGTGTTTCAGTGGCATATAGAAGAGAAAATTATTGTGTGCTGACTGAAAAAAACCCCAGCAGCTCAGTAACTAAAATGGCAAACTTGCCCTTCTTATTCTGAAGTGTATATGCTCCACGCATGTTAAGAATCATAGGAGTTAACACAACCACTTAAACTAGGAATCACAGTAAGTTTAATTTTTTTCTGGATAAGTTATTTCACTGCTGTAAACAGATGCCAAAAAAAAAAGTGTTGGAGAAAATACTGCCAACTCCACTTCTGACCTCTATTTAACAGTATCAAACTAAATCACAGATGGCTGGCTGGCTGAATTTCTTATCAACTAAAGGAATTACTCCACAAAAGTAGTAGATGACCAATCTCCTATTTTCCAGTAGGATTACTGTATGGAAATACAGCAGAGAAAGTACACTACGCATATGGCTGCTGCACTCACACTAAACCTTTGATAAGAGTTTCTGCTAAAATTGGCAAGAGACAGAGAATTCAAGATTAAGTCTTTTGGTTTGGGCACTATAGTATAATCGAGTATCCCTGATATTCTTGGAGCTATGCGGTTCCATAAGACAATGGTGACAGGTACTTGATTTCATATTCTGTCTTTGGGTGCATGCAACTCCCTTTGAAGGGGAATTCTGTGGACTTGTGAGGCTAATTTTGGTCTGAAGGATGGAAACGCAGACCTAAATCTGGATGCCTCTTCATCTGATTCTTCTGCTCTGAGTGAGGTCAATGGGAGTTTTATCTTTGACTGCAGCAGCAGCAGGATCAGGTGCTAGTTCACTTTAAGAATGCCCAATTTTGCTATGTTTTTTCAGTCTGGAGAGAATGTGGGAGTTTTGCCTGCCTAGTGGTGTTAAGATTGGGCCACAGTTTTGTATCACTACTCCCCAGGCTTTCCTTTTTGTTCCTTTACAAATACCTTTATTGATTTTTAAAACAAGAATATGAAACTCTAGATAGGCCTAATTAAAAGTGCATCAATGGGCAGAAATCCATAGACTGTAGTGGGCTTTTGATGAGGCCCCATGAGGGCAAACTCTGGGCAAGCAACCACAAGGTACTTCTCCTTCATTGCAAAACCTAGTAAATCCACTGACTGCAAACTGAAGCGTCAATGAGGGTGGCATAGGTATCCCAGCCAAGACCAGGCTAGAACTCTCTATTAGCAAATGACGGACAAACATCTAGTTCAGACTGCAGTCTAGGTCATCCAAAATTATTTCAAGTTTTTTTGGTCTGGAAATTAAGCTGGGAAACAACTTTTATGATCTGGGTTTCTTCATCTCCCAGATAGGGTGTGAGGACAGTGAGAAAAGCCTTTCTTATGGGAAATGTCTGCTTCTAAACTCAGGAAGCTCAGGGGTGGAAGAAAACAATAAAAAGAACAGTCTGGTTTCAGTTTTGAGGGAAAAGGCTCAGCTTTTTATTTTCATTTGAACAGAAGGGACACTTCATTAGAGCTTAGTTGATCCCTGTAAAATTTCTTGTTGCTGCAAATGATCTTGCAGGAAATCAAGGGTCATCCAAAACAGGGTGATTTTTCCAACAGGATCTAAATTTTGCTCTCCTCTGAATTTCATTTCAGGGTGAATTTTTTCAGTAAACTAACTTCATGGATAGTTTTTCCTACTGAAAACATTTGAATTTTAAAATTGGAGATTAGCTTCTGTTCAGAAACAGCCTTGTTTCCATTTGAGAAATGTGGGATGGGGTATTTAGTGAAAAGTTCACAGAATGTTACTTTATATTGGTTCAGTTTTAGATTTCTAACAAAGGGTAAAATTCCTCACATTTCTGCTTATCTGCTAAATTAGAGCTTTTCCACAATCTTCCCCAAATCATATTGGTATATATTATGGCATAATATACATTTACGAACTTAGAAGATGGCATTTGCACATTTTTGCTACACAAATGCATCTTCAGTTTTAGTCAAAGATGACATGGCATGAAGTAATTCACATAAATGTAGTCACCTTTTTTGTGGAAGACAATAGGCTTTGCAGAACCTAACCTTGTAAAAACAGCCATTTCAGAGCTTCCCATAATTTCTGAACCATCTTTAGAGCACACAAGAACAACTGATCTGAAAAGAAGAACAATTATTACAGCACAGCAGCTACAAGCTATTCTTGCTAAGTTCCTGTTGAACCTTTATGTCCCAATTCAGGAAAGCACTTAAGCATAAGCACATGCTTAACTGGTAAGTGTAAGTTGCATTAATTTCAATCACACAAAGAATGCTTAAAGTTAAGCATGTGCTTCAATGCTTTCCTAAATCAAAACTTTACCTCATCGATGTTACCTTTATTTCTCTCTGAAGCCAGACAAAGCAAAAATGATAGAAATAGTTTATCCTATATACGGTGTTAATATTTACGCCCAAGAAAAATTCACTTGAAATAAAATATAGCCCCAAATTCACATTCAAACCATCTGGATCTGATTTTCAATCAAGGCTGAGGCTGGCGTCTAACCTCACACATGCAACTTTGAACCCACAATTCATTGCACCCTCAGTGAATTATAGGCACAGTTGGTAGCAGTCAGATGAGCTGTTTGTGTCTGTGAATATGAGCGGAGACCATGTCTGTGGGCACATGGGAGTAGATTATTTCATATGTTCACACATACATATGATAGTGTGACCAACCTTCACAAGCCAGGGAGTGGCTAATGTGGCTAACTGGGCCAATTAACCTGATTGCACCTGGAGGAGGAGCCAGAGAGCAGGGATTAATTAGGTGAGGCTCAGTTGATGAGGCTCAGTTGATGGGAAGAGGAGAGCCTGTATAAAGCCTACCAACTAAGTGCCACAGTCTGAGGGTGCTCCCTGGGAGAAAGGAAATGTGAGGCTGGCAAACCCAGAAAGGCAGGAGAATCAGAAGAGGCTTGGGAAGAGACAGTAAAGTCCAGGAGGGACCTGGCTGCTGAGGAGAGGGTCTGAGTTAGAACTGGGAGTTCTACCCCTGAGGGTGATTCAGGGTTCTCTCATCAGCCACTAGGCAAGAGGCTCAGACCAAACAATGGGGAATGGACTGCCTGGGGCAGTTTGGATTGGAAGATGTTGATATCCCAGGTGGGGAGAACCATAGTGACCTAGCCAGAGAGCCAGGTCTAGAAGAGGGAACTGGAGCAAGGGGGGCTGAAGGGGGAGAGAGAGAGAGAGAATGACAGCTGGAGAGAACTTTGGAGGAGGGTACCTGGACAGAGCTAGTCCCCAGAGAGACCAGGTGGTGGCATCCCCTGTAATGAGCAGCCCTGGTGACAAGACACATGGGAGAGCTCAGCAGTGATTGTATCCATGCTCAAGAATTGCTCAGAAATGCCTTGGAGTGCAAGTCTGTTTTCTGGTTATTTGACCTGCTTTTACCAGCAGCCAAGAATTTTTCTATAAATCTCCGCTGTTCCATGTTTATGCGGTGACACAAAACCACAAGGAATGTGGAACAGACACAAACAGAGATGAACCAGCTCATTGCTGGAGCACATCTAAGGTAACAGAACCGTCAGGCTGGGCAGGTTTACTGGCTTGCCCAAAAAGTCCTGCAGGAGAGTCTGGCACACCTCAGTTTTTTCTCCATCTTCCCCCCCCCCTCCTCCGCCCCCCCCCGCCACATCCCCCAAAAAGCAAACAACCAGCAAGAACAAGCTCACTCACTCTCTTCAGCAATGGAAAAAAAAATGAATCATCCTCTGCCAGGAAACGGCTGCCGCTTCAGCTGGATACCAGGGTAAGTTAATAGAACTACAAATGTCATTGCAAAAGCCCTTATCTAACGCCAGGTGGAGAATAAACTTAACTTAAATGGAAGTGCCAGTCTTGCCAATTTTCCAGAAAACTTGACTGTCTGCAGTCTGTGTAATCCTCGGAGAGAAGCATACTTTTTAAATTTTCTGGAGAAAAATTTGATTCTGTAAAAGACTCAATCTTTCAGATTTCACCAGGCACCAAATCAGTTGCAAAAAAGTAGGTCATTTTCCAGTCTATCACCCACATGTTGCTACACGAACTTAAGCTTTCAACAGCTTGCTTACCTCTCTTCTATAGATGTTTGAATATAATCGGTTATTGCACTGCCAGCATTTACAGCACTAACTGTGTCAAAGTGCTGACTACTCACAACTGCTCCTGAACACGCATCTAGCACCAGGAAGAATATTCCACGGCTATTGAACAGGAAAACTTCATCATTTATCTGCAACCAAAGTACATCTTAGAATTAGCTGATGCAATCTGTGGACAAACAAGTGCAGAGTTTAAAGCTGAACCATGTCCTTTGTGAGAATGGAATTATAGACAGGTGAGACCATCAAGCCTTTATAGGCTATAACTTAGTATTAAGTCAATAATAATAGTTTTACTTCTAAGTCTGGTGAGATCCATGCTATATAAAAATAGAGAAAGTCAGTATCTGAGCCTCAAATAACTTAGTTTCTAAAGTTGAACAACGGAGTTGTGAAGCAAGACGCCAGTGTCATGTTTCCAGCCTACTCTTAATCAGCCTTTGTTTACACAGGAGTATTTAAGGTCAGTAGATGTCTGGGTACCTGGCTTTTGAGTAAACTGGTTTTAAAAATGGTTTTCCCTGGAAAATTTCCATATTTTTCAGAGGGTATTTGATTACTAACAAATTTTGGTCAAAACTGGAAATGTTTTGATTGGAAGTACTTCATGGGAATTGTAGTTAAGGTACCTCATGCTCCCATTCTCAACAGAAATTTAGAATTATGACTACTCAATCATGCCATGATGTGGAAGCTCAGGTAGTTCTCTGTCAGGGAGCCATGTCACTGTGGGTATGGCTAAGATTTTTGTCATGGGTATTTTTAGTCAGGGACAGGCTGCAGGCAAGAAAGGGAGAGGTCTCAGGTGATCTGTGACTCACTTAAAAGAAACACCTTAGAGAGCAGGAAGAGAGGACAAACAGAATCCTTCTAGGCCTTGTAGCTGCTCCAGCCCCTGAGTGCCCCACCCCTAGCTGCTGTGCTGGTGACTCTGGGGCTGGTTGCTGGTGTGCTGTACCACTGCCTGCTGCTCTAACAGCCCCAGGTCTGACACCTGCCCCAGAAGTAGTTTTGGAAAGTTAGAGAATCAGCAACAAAGATGTAGCTTTAGCTATGGGTGACCTTATGTACTAATACCTTATGGAGTGAGATAGCGAGGCATACTGATGAAATGGAAGCAGCACAAAGTCTGCTAGGGCTCCTTTCTCCTGTATCAGGATGTTCAAAGTTAAGAGCACAGGAAGACTTCTTCCTCCTAACAATCCCAGAGTTGCAACAGAGAAGAGTTGGGAAGAGGCCATGGTAGAGTCAAGGAGAATAAAAGGAATAGCAAGGAGAACACAGGGTCAAGGACAGGGATTATTGGTGGGTCAGAGTGGTAGGGAGAAGCTGTTTGGGAGGCGAATATGGATGGACACAAATCACAGTTGAATGTGTCGCTTACTTAGGCCTGGAGAGAACATTTTGCTAAACTTAACACTTATTTGGAAACAGCAGGTTGTCAATTAAGAACCCTGTTTGAGGCGTGAGTTTCATTTGGTAAATAGAGTTCTGGATGGCGGCATGACTTCTTTTGGTGTTGCCACGCTTCTCCCCCAATTCTCTAGGTCTTTCAGAGAAGGCAAGAATTCCCTTTCAGATAGGAATCCTTATTATTTGCACAGCACTGCTTTCCATATATTGTCTCTATAATATGACATACAATCGTTTGAATCAGAGCTTTGGAAACCTTTAAAGTTTTATGAAATACCATTGGCGCGTGCGTGTGTGTGTGTGTGTGTGTGTAAACTGCCTTGACCACTTTATACATATATGCATTGTACAATTTAATGCTCAGAGAAACCATTAAATCCCAGCTACTCTGAATCCATAAAATCTACCACACTAGCCTGAGCAGGAATTCTTTAGCAACAACATCTCAAATGCAAAGGTACACTCTAGACAGTATGCTTGCATATGTACTGTCAATGAGGGAACCTTAAAAGAAGTGCACATATGACCCACAGCTGTCAATCCTCAACTGACTGGAGCTGGGCATAACAGTTTCAGAATAATAGTCTGGGGTCATAATGAGAAACTTCTAGTGAAAAGTGAATTTAGTTTGGGGTTGTTTTATTTTGTTTCAATAATTTTAAAATGCTTGAGTTGATATTTAAAATTAAAATTACATTAAAGCTAAATCCAGGTTTTTCAGAAAATGTCTAATTTCAATTTCTTAATTAAGTGAAACAAAAAACCATAAATTTGTGAAGATAATCCATTTTTTCCCCTACAAGTTGAATCTCCCAGGTCTAGCACCCAGGGGAACCGACCGGTGCTGAACCAGGAAATTTGCTGAACCAGGAGAAGTCAATGCTGCCCCATTGCTCCCCAACCCAGTAGTCCAGTAGCTCCCGGACAGAGCCTACCACTTTGTCCCTGTGTGTGCTCCCACAGGGTTGCTGATGATGCCAGATCAAGGACATTGCTAGACTAGGGAAATCTGGATTACAAAGGTTCAACCTTTACTGAACATCGTGTGAAATTTTGACCAACTCTAAATGATGATCTGGTTTATATTAGCTACAAAAGAGTGACCTGGGTTTCTGTTTATACTTCCTTGAAATCAAACTGGTAGATATTAATCCAATCTATTGCTTTCATGGTCTTCAAGATTTTTGCAGCAACTTTTACAGGAAAGGAGTTCTTCTGTTTAATCACTATTTCAAGTCTAGTATAAAGCATACCTTAATGAAAGCGGTCTTCACATAATTCCCTGTGTCAGCTCTACTGACAGACTGGATCTGGATTCTTATATATTTGACTGAGGGTTTACTAGTGATAGCAACCTGTAATTATATGAAAGGAAGAAGTTTGAACAAAGATGGCTCACAAAATATTTTTCACTACCAAAAAACGGTATTAACTGTTGATGTGCTATGCCTCCCTGCCAGCACACCTGGTTTGCCCTCCCCTCCTCCTCCCCACCAGCACACCTGGAATGCCATCCTGCAAATATTCCAAGGAGCATGTCTTTACAGGTTATGAATCTTATTCACAAACATGTGAAAAGCTCATTATTAAACACTTAGTTTGATAGGAAGAGATTATGATCCGCTTGGAGCGCCCCTGAATTAACTGAGGGAAGTCCTACGTACTCTGTTGTTCAGATGAGACTAGATTGTCTCAATGGGCCCTCCTGCTTTATAATCAATTAACTGAGCCACTCCTTGGCTCATTCTGAAGTTGCCTGAGATCACACACTTTTCTTGGGCAATAGAGAGGTGGTTTAAAAGAATGTCATCACATTAGCTTATAACGGACAGACTTACTCTGCTTAAGTGTTAAGGATGCACATGCCTTGGTTGTGCATTATAGACTAGATTCTTTCCTCAGTTACACTGGCGTAAATCTGGGGATGACTTCACAGGATTTACAATGGTGTAAAAACAAAGCTAATGAGATCAGAATCTGCATTGATAGACCATGATCATGACCTGGCATGAAGCACAGCAAACATATATATTATACTTGGGATTCAAAAGTAAATTCATTTCAGCCATCCCAGTGGCCATTTTAATGGGTACAAATATACTTTATTTGCTGACCATTAACTGACCTCAAAGAAGTTGTCTGTTTCTGCAGCAGACTATGTAGAAAACTGGATCCTCCCACTACACTATCCTACCTTCTGGTCATATTCAGCAGCAGAGGGAATTGACTAAGAACCTCCCTCTTACACCATGAAAACTGCCTTCTTAGAAAGATGGTGACATAGTACCAAGGAAGTTCCAATGGACTCTGCAAAGAAGTATTCATCTCTGTACCTGAGGGGCACCGCACTGGCTGCAAGGCACAGTCAGTCGCTGAGACATCAAGCGCAGTGAAGCTTGTCTCCGGTTATTCTCCACGAAAGGGTTAAGGGCACAGCTCCAGGAATCCTTTGAGGACATGTGTGCCATGATTTTAATGCGTTCGCAGCCTTGCTGAGAGCAATAGCTGTGCCCTTTTCGATCTTCATGAGCTTGGAGGATGACAAAGAGGTACCTAACAAATGAGACCATTGCAGAACAAATGAAAGGAGCCAAGCCACCCTGGGTGCCGAAAGAAGAATATCTGGCATGAGACAGGAACTTTACTACATGAAACCCTCCTTGTAATGTTTTCCTAAGTAAAGCTACTTCATCAATACTTACACACTATTTAATAACCCACAATACAGCACCCTATGGACAAGTCAGCAAGTCAGGTTTTGACTGATCCCAATGGTGCTAGAACAATTTGTATAGTGGGGGTGAGCCACTGAACCAAACCATAAACCCTGCATATAAATGGACATCACCTATGTCTGGTGCAGCACGAGGATACAGAGAGCTCCTCATCATTGCACCAGGAACAGACGCACAACTGCTATCCTTGCACTCAGACTGCAAATTCTACATTAGTCTATTATCACTAGACTATCTAGAGAGCAGGTCACCTCCTCACCGCCTTCCAAAGGGCATCCCTAGCTGAGCTGCTTCCTGCCAGAGGACGGAGTAGCAGCTATGCTCCCCCTTTAGTCTGGAGGTATCATGCTTGTCAGAGGACTCCAGCAGCTTCAACTAGGGCTCTCAGCCTTTGCGTTGCCTCATCCCAGATGCTGCCTTCCAGGCAAAATTCATCTCAGTGTGCATGAAGTACACTTCAAGCAGCCACCGTACCAATTCTGGCTCTTCGAACAGTCAGAAAAATGAGCCTAGGGGTGTTTATCTAATTTGTAGTTTAAACTGGATTATACACAAACAACTCTGCTACAGTATCAAGAAAATAGCTGCTCTTTACTCAAAAGCGGCTATTTTAATCCTCTTCTTCTAGGCAAGTGGAAGCAAATAAGTACACTTGGTTCATCTCCAGAGATGTAACACATGTGGCTGAAAAGAAGGGGGAGTATTCCACTGATTATGAAATAAGAACTAATAAAACCTCCCAAAACCCCTCTCCTCTTCTGGGTCAGGCTAAAAAAAGCAAAGCTTAGCTAAATAAAAAACAAACAGCCCTGTAGTTCAGGTCAGGCTCATCAATCTGCATGTTCAAAGTCCAAAAGAACAGCAGGCAGCTCACGGCTCTGTCCCCTGCATACCCTCATGAGTAACTACTTTTGCATGCACTTCCCTGGTTATTAATCTGTTTACCCCATTTGGGTAACATTTTGTACAGCTTGACAGGGGACAAATGAGCCCAATTATTTCACAATTCCTATCATGAGAGAACACATATCATAGTATTATTGAGTCCCACATGGCATGACATACATTCCAAGATTTCATTGGTTGCATACATTGTCTGAACGAATGACTATTTTCCATTTTATTTTAATAATCTGACATTTATGGTCTGATTTCAGTGCTAGTTTCATTGGTAGGTTAGGCACAATGGGTGAGACACACAGCATGGGAATTTTTTTTTTGCAAATATTTTAATAGGACACTAAGCTGTGTTTCTCAATATTATTTCTCTTTAACAGAAGATATTTGGGTCTTATTACTACTATTCATGAGTTGTATGTACCCACAGGTCTCTATTAAAATCACAAGCCCATTATGCTGATCACTAAACATATGCATAATAAGAGTTCTTTCACTAGTGAGGTTACCATCTAAATAGACAATACAGACAAAGGATTATTGTCCCCATTTTATAGTGGCAACTTAGAGAGGAAACGTGACTTGTCCAAAGTCACACAAGAAGTCTGTGGGACAGCTGGGCCTGGATCACCTGAGTCCCCCATCATGGTCTTAAACACAAGATATTTAAAACCCCAAGGATAGTCATTTATGGGCTGGGAGGAGTTTCAAAGTGGAGAATGGTAAGGGGTCATAACATTTGGACTTTCAGAGATCCCGCATTTCCGCAGAGTTCTTAATGCCATGTCTGTCCATTGTTTTTCATTCCCTTTTTAATTTGGTTTCCCACAAGCACTGCTCTGCAAAATTCAAGGCTGGGGGCCTAGTTCTGCTCTCACACATCTGTGAAACCTTTCACATACTAGTGAAACCTCACAGCTATAACAGAGGGGAGGATTTGGGCTCAGGAGCCTATTTTGTCTGCACCTAGAATGGCTTTTGAAAGGTACCTGAGGAGCAACTGTGCCTCTTCTTTAAGGCTTGTCTCATGCTGTCAAAATGTAAGACAGTCAGGACTTCCCCTTTTTAAACAAGCTCTGTAAAAGATGGTTGCAAGCTTCTCAGACACCTTTCACACTGGAATCACCACCCTGCAGTCCTGCTGACTTGGGGTGAGGGCAAGTGGGGCAGCTGCTCCAGTACTTGGCAATTTTAAAGGGCCTAGGGCTCTTGTCCACTACCACCACCACCGCAGCAGCAGCAGGTGTAATGTCTCATTCAGAGAGTCATACCCTATTAGTGTGTGCGGCATGTATCTAAAACCACCAGAATAACAGTATTTATGTTCAGCTATCACTCGACTGTCAGTTCCAGCTAAAGGCTAAACATGTATTCCTTCCATAGAGAGCACCACAATAAATACAACTTGCAGGCCTGGCTATTCAGGGTCAGATAAACCAAGAGAACCACAACCTGACACTTTGCCCAAAAATCTAATCAAGACTAATTAGTTCAGAAGTTTGCAGATTCTTGGTTACCATCCCTCATTAAATTATGTTTTCTGTGCCTAGAATTCCCATTTCCAGCTGAAGTGGAAGTGCCAAAATAGCACAAAAAAGACTGTGCTGGCAGGATTTAGGAATGTAGATAAGATTGTAAAACTTCTGGTTTTGGATGTAGTTCTTATTGGAACCTACTCCAAACTCTGAGTCTACTCAGGATCAAACAGCACTAGCTCCGTGTTGCCAAGTTCCCCCCAGAAGTGCAAGGCAGTTTTTTGGAGGATGATGGATGGATTGCAGACTGAAAAACTGATGCCATGTTTTCCTTCGCCCCCTCCGCCCCCCCCCCCCCCTTTGCTACCCCGTTTGCCTCTTCTGCTCTTTTCCCTAGAATGTACAGCTGCACATCATCAATACGTTCATTACTGTGAGAAACATTCACTGTCTCCACCACATCGGAAAGACAAAGCGAGGAGCCAAGCACTGAAAATGGAGGGAACAGGCTACAATGGGAGATAAGGGAAGGCAGACGAGAGAGAAAGGTCCCTACTGTGGGGCTACCCCGTTTGCCTCTTCTGCTCTTTTCCCTAGAATGTACAGCTGCACATCATCAATACGTTCATTACTGTGAGAAACATTCACTGTCTCCACCACATCGGAAAGACAAAGCGAGGAGCCAAGCACTGAAAATGGAGGGAACAGGCTACAATGGGAGATAAGGGAAGGCAGACGAGAGAGAAAGGTCCCTACTGTGGGAAGCCTTTTCCATAAAATGGCTGTCTGGGCAAGTCTTGAGGCCTGTGGTTAGGAGTCCGTTGTGTAATTTCACTCACCCCAATGTGTTGTTGAAGTAGAAAAGCCGCTCGCCTGTCCTGTTGAGCACGCTGGTCCAGGCAGGGGCTGCTAGATAGTGTTTTACACTGTGCACTCTCCCCGTCTGTCGCTGATAGATGTCTGCCACAATGGTGAAAACTGCCTCCTTGGGATAACATAATGCAATGTGCAGCCAGTCTCCTCTGTGGGCAAAATGGTGTGGGGAAAGAAATAGAATACATGCTCAGAAGTGGGTGAGGACTTGTAACAAATGAGAAAACTATGGTATTCAAGGGGGGAGGGGAAGAGTACCTTTTATCAACACTCCCCCCCATTTGAAAAAGCTGAGCCAAACTAACGTGGTGATTCACTTGGAAGCAACTGCTTCTTTTCACTATGGGCCCAATCCAAAGATCACTCTCACCGGAAAGACTCCCTGTGACTTCACTGGGCTTTGAATTGGGCTCCAGAACTTCTTAAAAAAAAAAAGAGTCAGAATTGCTCTCATCATCCAATTTGATCTGGAGACAGCAATTCTCCAGGCTTTGTGGGAAGGCAGAATTACTGTGTGTCCATGATCTTCTCCTGAGGGCTATTCGGCTTGGTTTTGTTCATCTAACAGGAGGTTTCAAACAGACATTTCAACAGGGGCACTGATATGGGAATTCTAAAAGATCCAGGAGCTGAACCAGACGCTATAATTTTAAAGAGACCTGCTTCTTTCACTTTGTAAATTTTAGGGATTCAAGAGCAGGATTTTAATGGAAACCACAATAATAAACGTTGCTATAATCAAATATTCTCTACCTCTATTTAACTCCGGTCTTCCAGAATTTCAGCAATGTGCTAACAACTGCCAACTGAGGAGAAGAATGCAGTTGACCTTACACCCTGCTTCTACCTCTGCCACAGTTGTTAAGAAGAAAACTAGTTCAAGCCTGTAAACTTATGATAAAAGTAGCAGGGTAAAGCATGGTGCTACGGTACAGTTCAGAAACTTATGGAGGATAATTTTCCAGAAAAGTATAACATATCTTGGTTTCCAGATGCTCTTAGCCTACAGATTTTTTTTTAATTATTATTATTTTGGTAGAATAAGAGAAGCTGAAAATCATAGAAAGGGTACAGTTACATAAGAGGGGAAAAAAGCCAAAGGGGGAAAAAATGTAGTTTTTATTTCTCATTTTCCTGTTCAGTGACTCAGTGGGCCACAAATAGGCACCTAAGCTATTGCTGTGGTTGATTTTACCCATTATCCCAAAGAACAGATGGGATTCTGAGATCTCTGTCCATTGATATTTGCAAGAATAGCTGGATTCACAGGTGACTTGTGGTAGCACTTGGTAGGTGCACTACCCCTTATACCCCTACCGCATTTTAATTACTAAATGGGATGCCCCCACATGCACCCTGTCCCTCTGTGTGGCCCTCCCTGCAACCTCTCTTCAGGCACCAGTCGCCCCGGCTGGATTCCAGTTTACGAGGTGGGCTGTGGTTCAGAGACAGAACACCCTGCACATTTCCAGTGTCTTTGAGTCCCTACTGCTTTGGAACAGAAACAAACTTATTCCACTCAGCTACTTTTTGAGGGCCCTATGGCTTATACAGTGAACTCTCCAGAGGTGAGATCACTTTATGTTTAAAAGCAAACACCACATTACAAGGTGGAATAAAGGACAAGCTGTTCTAGAACAATAAACCAAATTCCTATACACAGGCTCTATCAATTGGAGCCAAATACTGCCCTCTAAATTTTAAGCAACCCCAGCTGTGTCACAACTCAGCATAATTGAAAACCAGAGATATTTTCAGACATATTGGCCTCCATCTGAAGGAAATACACTAGAGCCATGTTCATGGAATATTTTTAGGATAGTGTCCCAAGACACACAGCTGTTTCATAAGGGTGATTTTTTCCCCCATTTTTCACATTGTTTTAGCACATTTGGTTCCCTGGAGAGAATGGCACCGAAATATCCCAACACCTCCTTGAAAGGCTGGGAACTGACTCTTGTGCAGTGTTACAACATTCCGTCTGTCACCGTCCCATGGGGAAGAAAAGCACTAAATACAAAAAAGAAAGGGGAAAGAAGCAAGAGCGGAGATGATCAGTTTTTCCAGAGTACATTGGAATACCACATGGAGGGGGCTGACTGGATTTGGGAAGGGGGGGGGGGGGAAATCACATCAATAAGTTATCTTCATGTGCCTTTATTTGGGAAAGTTTTCAGAGGCATACATAAGCCTTAAGGCTATTACTACAATGAAGGGTTGGGGCAGGGAAGGGAGAGGGGCTGAGGCAACAGATTCATTGCATTTCATTTAAATGGCCTCTTATTTAACCCTACTTTTATTTGTTTTAAAGTTTCACATTAGCTACTTTAGCTGTTTGGCAAAGGGGAAGAAGTGGTTGTTCAGCATGAGTCATTGAGAACCATCACCCATACCTTTTGCTTTGCTTGTCTGGGACACCCAGGACAAGCACAGCAGTGATAACAAGGGTATCAGAACATGAAATGTAAGACTCTACATTGCATTTGGTGAGCAGAAAATTACAGAGTCAGAGGCCCCCCTGTAACTATTGCCAAGACTGCAAAAGAAATGTAGTCTCCGGATGCAGAGCTGTGAACCAGGAACGGGGAACCTCAGGCCCGGGGACCAGATACAGTCCCCAGCTTGCCTGGATCCAGCCCCTGAGGCTCAGGGCTTCCCCCCAGCATTGGGGAGCCTGCACTGGCACTCCAGCCCCTCCCCCCACTCAACCACAGGTCTGGAGTGCACAACATTTACTAGTCTGGGCCCCCCTAGGCTCTGGCGTGTAAGAAGAATGTGGGGAGTGTCTTTCTGCTTCTCAGTCAGTCAGGTTTTTTCCTCCTCCTCGCTTCCTTTTCCCTGATTGATTTCTCTTTGAGTCAGTGGCCCCCCCCACCCCCAGTCCAAAAAAGGGTTCACCAACCCTGCTGTAAATAATCAGGCAACCCAGCTTTGGGTCAGCAGAACATTAAGATAGGAGCTATTTCTGCTCTCTATGTGGTGCTGGATGCAGGAGAGCTTGTGGCTGGACCATTCAGCTGCAGGAAGCCTTATTCCCAGTTAAACCTCTCTGTTTGGATTCTTATTTTCATCTAGCGAAGTAAGAGCTAGAACTCTCACAGGTGGATCAAGCTAAATTTGGACTGGCGTGCATCTGAGCCTAGGTCCATGTTTCACCTTTCCTAACAAGCAAGCAATATCAGATGGGATTTTCCACTAAGTGACTGCTAAAAGCCAATAGGCATTCTGTTTCTAGACCACTTTTCTGATCTCCTATTATCACAGAGACAAACATTTCAAATATTTTTATAACTGTAAAAATCTATGCCATTGACTTAGAATCTAGTCAGTTCCAAAAGATGAACTGAGTTGTTTCAGAACTTCAGCTGCTGAGTCCCCTAGGAGAATATGCCATTTTATATTTCTTCACTTTGAATGAAAGATCAAAATAGAGCCCTTCGAATCCATGAATATCCACTTTCATGGTGGGTATCCATATCACAGTTCATTTTTGTAGATGCAGAGGACGATGAGGATACAAATTTTATAATCTAGAACCCTGCAAATGTGCAGATATCTGCTTTATATCCACATCTCTGGATATGAACACAGATATTCGTGGCTCATTTTTGTGGGTACAGATGCGGATAAAAATTTTGTATCCGTGCAGGGCTCTAAAAACAAAGAGATGGTGATTAACAGATTTTACAAAAGGAAATAGTGAAACTGACTGTACATAAAATGCTGTCACATGTAGAAAGTGAACAACGATGAGGATTTACACGTAACAAGGGGTTAACAATTTTCAAGCAGAAAGTCTGATTTTTGAGGTTTTCCCTTTAAAATGAAAATAAAGTCAAGTTTGGATGTTTTAGAAATTTTAAATAAAAAGAGAAAATATCAGTGTTTACAACCTTTAAAAGTGACATAATTCAGTTAATTCTAGTAGTAGGGTTTTTTTAGGTCAGTTTCCTCTCTGGTTTTTTCTCAGACTATTGGCACATGTAAAAGCAAAGCTAAACAACAACTGGTACAAAGTCAAGGTTTGCCTACCAGATATTAAATTGAATATTTAAAATGTCTACTGGCAAAGACATGTATCAACACAGCAGTTTTGGCTCCTGCATTCGTGTCTTTCAACAATCCACACAGTGTTTCGTGTATTTTTAGGAGCTTGTTTAGCACTGTTTATTTTCTCTTGGAAATGGCTGGGCAAAATAGACCAAATGGTTGTCTTGTGGCTTTTTAATTGACTTTTGCCATTCTGGCAGAAAGTTCCCTTGACTGCTGCCAGCCTCTGAAGTTCTTAAGCAAATTTAAAGGAAGCAACAAGGGGAAAATGGAAGAAGCAGTTCAGCAATTTCCTGTTATTGGACATATTAGATCTATGGCTTACTACTGTCGAGTCCCATAATTCCAACGAAAACCGAAACACCCTCTATAGTTCAGACCAAAGCACAGCTCCAAAGAAACCCAGAGAAGTGTCTAAAACCCAAAATGAAATACACAGAGGGAAAAGGTTTGACATACCTTATGGTGTACTAAGGTAGTATCTTCTATTCAATGTTTCAGATTTTGCATTTCTGATGCCAATAGCTTCCAGGAATAAACAAGGAAATATTGTAATGCCTGTTTTTTGTGGCATGGAGATAAATTTGAACCTGAAGTAGTAGGTTTAACCTGAGTGGTACAGACAAGGAGTTTGGCTAAAGTAAGTTTAACGGGAGTGTACATCTGTTTGCTGCCCTCCTCTACAAGCGGAAGGTAAACGAAGCTCTTGCCCCATATAGATTTTAGGTGGAGCATTGCTCTTCAGACTTGAGAGCAGGGGTGGGGAACCTAAGGCCCGGGGGTCGGATATGGCCCCTGGCTTGCCTAGATACAACCCCCCAAGGCTTGGGTTCCTCCCCAGCATTGGGGAGCCCACACTGGTGCTCCATCCCTCCCACCATCCCACTGTGGGTGCTGGAGAACACAAAATCCACTAGCCAGGGCTCGCCTAGGCTCTGGTGTGCGAAGGGAACATTGGGAGTGTCTTTCTCCTTCTCATTTGGGAGTATGGCAGTGAGGGTTTCGCTTTTCTTTTTTCCTTCTCACTTGTGTGCAGCCTCCCACCTGATTTTCCGTGGATCAGCAATGGGGGCCTGATTTTCTGTGGATCAGCATTGGG